CTCAGAACGCACGCATGGAGCTCAACATTGGGCAGATATTCACTATCCTGTGAGTTTCCATCCTCTCCTCCTCCTCCTCCTCCTCCTCCTCCTCCTCCTCCTTCTTTTTACCCTCGTGTTTTCCTCTCAATTCTACAACACAGGTGGTTTTAGGAGGTGCTGTTGATCCGCGTGCTACATTTTTTTATGGCTGTCATTAATCCGAATGTCTGCAAGACTTTGTTTATACTACCTTCTGATGTCTGACAGGTGCTTTAAGATTTGTCCTGCTATTGTAGGCTTGGGCTTATCTTCTGCCCAGTCTCCAGCCATGTGTTCTTGGCAGTGCCGATAACTGCATGCATTCAGTTCCACTTAGTGCCTTCTTCTAACTGGTGGGAAGTCTTAGGATGCCACAACATATTTCTGACACTTTTTTTCATTTGCAATCTTCTATCCTTTTTTTCAATTTCTCCAAACTTCTTTGTGTTATTTAGTTATTCCTTCTCCTCCTCTTCCTTCTTTCTACCCTCGTCTTTTCCTCTCAGTTCTACAACACAGGTGGTTTTAGGAGGTGCTGTTGATCCGCGTGTGTTTTACACGTATGCAGTGGATTTGGAATCGAGTTTTTTTTTCTATGCAGACTTTCTGACTCTCTTTTAGTTTTCTGACGTTTACATCTTCGCTGGCCACGCCTAACATTCCTAGTGCAAGCATTGTGCTCACTGTGACCATCTTGTCTTCCATCGGCGCACCAACAGAAAGCGCTGGTCTGCTCTTTGCCATGGAGTGGCTCTTGTAGGTCAAAAGACTCTTATTAATTGCAAAGTGAGATTGTAAATGACTCAAAATACTAAAAATTTGAGTATTTTTACCCATTTTTATAATTCATAATTGCCTTCCTGTTGCTGCTTTTTGACCCAAAATGTTAGTTCGTCCCTAAGTGCTTTACAATTTTTAACAGAGATTTAACGTTCTTCTTGTTACCGTCCTTTGAATTCAAAATTTTCATGAAGTAACGAATATGGAAGACACTTGTTCTGTCTGGTTACTGTAGAAAATGCTAAAAGAGAATTTTGTGAAATTCTCGTCTTAGCGCTAATTCATGGTCAGAGATGGGCTAAAGCTGCACCTTTTATTTGCCTTTTTGTAGAGATCGGTGTCGATCCGGAAGCGGAGCATTGTCAATCATGTTTGTGGCTGCAACCGCTGAGGCGATTCACGAAAGGGCACTAAAGAGAAAGCGTGTTGATGACACCGAAACTTTCACAGAAATGGGTGAAAGTGCTGTATCACCTGTGTAATAAAAGATTTCATTCAGCACTTTTCAATTCTTTTCAAAGCGAGTAAATTTTAATTTAGAGAGACAAGGTAAGAGAAGGCGGGTAAAAATCACTTTTTTTGACCTTGAGCATTCACATACCGGAAGGCTGAGGAGGACCAAAAAGGAAAGTGGGTGCTGTTGAATCGTCTTTTTTAAAAACCTAAAGTGAATGTATGAATGTATTTGTCTTTGTTGAGGAGAATTCCTGACCATTATTCGGTTAGATCGCTTCTGACGCATGGCACCACTTTCCTTCAATCAAATTTCATGAACTCATTTAATGACGGACGTGCATGTGCGTACGTGCTACCCGTCTGTCCAATGAGAACGCAGGCGCAGTGCCATAGCCACTTTCGTGATTTCAAAGCGTCAATATTCCAACGTTGAAGGAGTTAAAATATCTGTGCATGTACATATATTCACGGTTTAGTTTCTTTCTAAATGGATTTAAAACAATGGGCATTATTCTTACAAATATTCTTGAATTTTGTAAAATCAGAAATAAACTGACAAACACTTCACTTTACTTAGCCTTAATTTGACCCAATAATGCGTAAGAAATCAGTAGCGTTCTTATATGGTTTAATTTGTTGCTAAATGTACTGTCCCTGGGATTGATGGAGGGAGATGAGGCAAACACGTTTGCCCACAGAAACAGAGCTCATGATTGGTCAATTGTCAAGGTCAGTGGGACATTTAACGATCGCTTCACGCACATCACATCCTATCGGACCGTACATTTTAAATCACTTGGCAGCACAGTGTGGGGCTGTATGGCTGTGTACGGCTGTGGAGGATGCAATCTGGAGCACTGGTTGCTTCTTGTCTATCACTTTTGATTTCTTTGGCTACTCTGAAGGCGGATATTTGTCCACGCGGTTATTGGCCGGCAGATGTACAGTCAGCATCCACAGAAAAAGCTATAAACCAGTACAATAGCGATCGAAAATATTCTCTGCCTTATGGGCCCATAGGAAACACACCAATATGCCGTTTCTGTCCTCAGATTAGTTGCTTTATCATGCGACAGATGACGGAAAAGAAGGATTCCAAAAAGGAATCGATGATTCGACGACGACCACGACCTCATCCAACGCATTCTCTTACCACAACTCCAAGAACATCATCTCTGGAAAATCTCTTCCCTGTGTTTGATAATGCCAATGCAACCAAATTGTCGGAAGGACATGAGGATTCAAATGTTATGATGACCTGTGTTCCCTACTCTGAGCTGCCACATCCTGAACAAGTCATCACTTATTTGGACTGTGTTCAGATTGGTCAAAGGGATCTCTACTACCTGTTCATCTACGTACCAGTCAACAAGGAGAACGAAGTTGCCCCAGTGGATTGTATAGACCCGAATTTCCTTACATGGATTCCAAAAAGGGAGAAGCTGAAAGGAATTGAACTGGGATTTCCTATGAAGAAATTGCCATCATACCTCTTCCGATATTATCGAGACATTATGGAGGTTGGTAGCTTGGTTTCATATATTCTACTGTCCTCTAGTTGACCATAAAATTGCAAGCCCCAGACATTTGTAGGAGTAACTAGCACCGATTGGGATTAACTAGTGTAGGTGTGCGATGCTGTGGGTACCTTAAAACCCTTAACTGTGTCTACCTTAAAGGCTACTGAACAAGTCTGCATCGACTCCTCTGCGTTGATAAATTATGAAATTGATCCACACGATTTACAACGATTCGATGGAAAGGTGCTGACACAAACAGTGTATCGTCATCGAGGCCTTAAAAGGAATGTGCTACCACCGAAACAACCACCCAATACTGCTGAAACTGGGCATAAAAGTGATGAGGAGGTGGCTGAATGTCCAAATCTAACACCCACTGGAGTTGGACGAACGTTTAGCGACAAGGACTGTCGCTATGCTGCCTCGGTATGTGAACATCTTTTTCGCATGAAAACGATTAAAATGAGTAGGTTTGTGTGGTGGTGCATAGCTTTATTTAACTACCACCAGCGGCTGTACCGTCCCAGCAATCTATTCCGCCTAGTGGCGATTTAAAACGCCGACGAACTGACTGTTCTGCAAAAGTCCAACTTCCTAAACACCTATGAGCTTGATAATGGGAAATTTGGCTGATTAACAATAAGAAATGGCTGTAGACATAAACAGCATTGGTTCTCGGAAAAAAATTAGCTACTGAAGTTGTTTCTATTCATACTACTGATATCAATTAAAGGGGTCATCAGTAGCCAATCAAATTGGAGCAAATAGCAATCCCCCATTTATCTCTATCAAACAATTTTATCGGTTGTACTTGGGAGTAGAATTGAAAGCGTTCACTTAATTTCGTCAAAAATATCACTTGTCGTCATGTCACAAGCACGTGAGGCTTTTAATGTCAATGCCCTGGTAGACAAGTGTTGACCTAACTGCATATTGCTCGCTACCGCATTCCTCTGGCCTCCAAGTCCTCCTTGCAACACCAATTCTTCTTTACATCTCTTAGGCGTGGCTCGATCCTCAAGTTAATGTTTAACTCCGCTGCAGGGCTTTGGAATGTACTTTCGTCTAAGACTTGTTGTAGAACAATGAGTGAAAGTGCGGTACACAATGACGGAACTCAGGCGTCCTGAAGGGGTGTCACTGTGATTGTGATGATGGATTAGTCAAGAAGTGGCGTGCTTCGCTTACGCAGACCGCCTGTTCTTTGATGACTGCTAAATAGATGAAAAGTGGTTTGTCAAAAGTGATTAAGGTGTGTGAAGAAGGAGTTGGTAAGTTAATGGCATCAGTACGAAGTGAAAATATTCATGAAGAGGCTTTATAGTGCATGCAGCATGCTGAGGGAGGTTGAA